TATGTTTATTGAATACAATAAATAAGTCTGTGTTACAACAGATGGACAATGAAAAAGAACATTGACGATTGGTTTTGACTCGAATTATAGCAGCTATACAATATTTAGCTGAGCACAACTGTGCTTTTCGTGGAAGTAATTCCAGACTGTTTGAGCCTAACAACGGTAATTTTCTGGGATTAATTGAAATGATGGCCGACGCATCAAAAATGAAGAAATACATGATCACTATCTTGGACCTCGCATTCAAAATGAAATAATCTTAATATTGGCATTGAAGGTAAAGAACAAAATTCTAGAAAAAAGTGAAGACAGCAAAATACTTTGCAGTTATTCTTCGAAACACGAGGATCCATGCGAGGTGAGATGTTGATTATATGTAGAAATCCGTGTGCTTTATTGGGTTAATGAAATATATATGGATCCTCGTGTTTCGAAGCCGGATTTGGTAAAGCGTTACTCTGATCACCTCAGTGGCACGGGTAGTCCCCATTAGAGGTTCACGGCGCCATAAGCTCATTGAACAGGCTTTGTGTGAAATATAACAGAGTCTAGGACTGCTTTTAGTGTCCTGCTGGCCCAGAGGTAACGTTCCCTGGTCACAATCATAAGATCGTGGGTTCGAATCCTGGTGGGGTGAGGTGTTGATTATATGTAGAAGTCTGTGTGCTTTATTGGGCTAATGAAATATATATATATATATATATATATACATATATATATATATATATAACGTTTAGCCATCATTTTATGAGTGGCCACATACACATTCATATTTTTCAACTTTCTCGCTAAGCAACTCCACCTCTCTTGGGACAAGCTTGTGTTTACAAATGGCTGTTGGTGCCTTACAGTTTAACTTACCCACACTGTGTCTTCAGCCCACAGTATCAGTTGTGAAGATGGATGGATACCCTTCAACGACTATTGCTACTGGTACTCAGGCTCTGGCAACGCCTCCACGACCCTTACCTTCAATGACGCTCATGACAACTGCCGGAGCCGAGACGCCTCCCTGGCATCGATACACTCAGACCCAGAGAACCAGCTAGCCTTCTCCCTTCTCGACAAATGTAAGTCAAACTATAATAACACTAGGCAGGAAATAAAAAATAAAAAAATCCGTTACATGGCTCAGAGCATCTTCCTTTTGGCAATTTTGAGGTGCTGATTACAAATTTGGCATTAAAAATTCTCTGGGACGTACAGTTTATTTGTTATACAAAAAACATTTAATCTTACAAATTAAAAAAACTGAAAAAATACAATTTTTCCTGTTATTCCTGTTACTAAATAAAGAATGAAAACAATCAAAAGAAGACACAAAAAGTATTAAATTAGCCATTGTATGGGCATTTGATAGTCTATTTCATCCTTTTATGTGTTGTATTGTCCTCCAAATGTAAAACCAGCAATAGTCCCCCATCTTGGCAGGATCCCATCTATCCTGGTACCTTTCCTGCATACGTCTAATGTCCTGATGAAATCGCTCTCCCTGTTCATCACTAACCGCCCCCAGATTCTCAGGAAAAAAGTACAAGTGTGAGTGCTGGACATCCTGCATCCTAAGTTTTTTTTAGTTTTTAATAGTTCCTCTAAAATTTGGCAATAGTCTTCTTCCTTCTTGTTTCCAGGAAACCCCTTGACTACAGATGTGAAGGATTTCCATCCAGCTAGCTCATTTTCATTCAGTGTGTTTTCAAAGTCGTCATCACGAAGTAACTTTCTTATGAGGGTCAACAAAGATACCCTCTTTGACTTTAGCATCACTGAGCTGTGGGAATTTTCCACTCAGTTACACGAACCCATCACCTTGTTTGTCCATAGCCTTCACAAAATTCCTCATTAGTTCCAGCTTGATTTGTAAAGGAGGTCTACCAAGGGAGTATATTTAACGTTGCTTTTTCCTGGAAAAACTCTTCTCTCTTTGGCCAGTGTTTTTCTGTTGCTCTGCTGTCCCATAAACACAGAAAACAGCAATATTTCGTGAACCCTCCTTGAAGGCCGAGTAGAAGGGCTATAACCTTCAAATCGCAGCAGATCTGCCATCTGTACTCCTTGTGTTTAATAGCGGTCAGTATTTTCTCGATACTATCAAAAGTTTCCTTCAAACCTACAAAATGCGCTACTGGAACTGAGGGCTTCTGGTTTCCATTATGCAACAATACTGCTTTCAAACTAAACTTGGAGGAATCTATGAAAAGCCGTCATTCCTTTGGGTCAAGTTTTTCTCCCAACTCTCATATCAGTCCATCTACATCAGCACACACACACAGAATCCTGCATACTGTAGAATGAAGATAATGTAATATTTATTTTCCTAAAAACTGAAATTCTTGTCTGTTTCGCTAGCACGTTCCATTCCTGCAGTCTTGATGTTAAGAGTTCCGCCTGCTGTTTTGACAGACGGAGATCACGTACAAGATTGTTAAGTTCACCTTGTTCTATAAGATGTTGTTCTATGGAAGTCTGGTCAATGAAAGGAGGATCATGGGATGATTCTGGGATTTTTTCCACAATTTCCTCATCCGAAATTGAGAACTCTTCCAAATTAGCCGGTGGTATAGGTATAGGGAGGCCTTCGCGAGGAACGGGCCTTATTGTCGAAGGTACCTCTGGATATTCAATTTGGTGAATTTGGTGAATTAACACAGCCTCGGCGTTGTATTCTCTCCATTCTCCTGTTCAGAATTGCTAACCTTGTATTTAATATACCCCTACCAACACAAATACGTATCTTATATTCCTACACTACATATACACATATATCATAAAAATGTTACGTGACTGACATTTCTATTGCCCTATTTGAAATCAGCATCCCAAAATTAATAAAGTGCAGCCTATTTGATCCACGTTACCGAAAAAAATTCTGATCAACAATTCTCCTGCTACGTAAGTTTTTATATTTAATTGTTTTGTGAAAATATGAAAAACTTAAAATTTTGTGTTACTAAACGATTCATTTTAACATTTGAGAACTTTATATCCTTAATAACGACAATTTAATAATATAAGCCATACTCCTCCAGGGGTTAAACCAGTGTCGTAAAACGATGAATACTTACTGTAGATGTTCCATTTGTCAACTTAATGTTATTAGTCAGCTTAACGAAAGTAATTTCATCAAGTACTTAAAAATCATCACAAATCAATGAAATGGTACTAAGCTGTAATGATGTGGTCAGTGATGAAGGGCTCAGGACTATTTTTTTATGGTCTCGGTCTTAGATATCGTTGGTCTCGAATTTTTGACCGATATCTTTCGAGACCACTCCTTCCCCACAGGTCTGAAGAAAAATATTGTCGTATCATGTTGAAAAAAAAACTTTCCGATTTTAAATATTCAGATTGAAATCAATGGTCCACTCTCTGTACAGACGACCCCCAAGACGTGTTTCTGGGTCTGAGTGATGACGGCCACCAAGAGCAGTTATCGTGGCTCGATGGCTCCTCTCTCTCCTACACAAACTGGCACCAATTCAACAGCAATCGTAAGTGCCTTATGACGACTTCACAACATTGTAAACGAAAACTTACCTTGCTACTGTTACTTAGTATATTAATTCATTTACTTAAAACCAAAGTTAGGGTTTTATCTTCTTATTTATGAGTCTCATCAAGGCAAAGGTGAGAACAACTATCAAGAACACTTGATAATGTTATTTCCTTAAACCATTATTCATTTACAAATCCTATGTGTTGCTGTTTTTTTATGGAGACAAAATTGATAACGTAAATTTAACTTGTTACCCTTATTTTTATTTATTTCTGTCATACCCAGTCCACTCTATTTTTTCAATAAATTTACACGAAGTATTCGGATAAATTAACCTGTCATTCATTCATGCATTCATTCAGTTATCAGTTATACTAATACAAGATGTTATCTAGCAACTTTCTGTATCTCTATTTCAACCTATAGTCAGCGACCTATCACCTCTAAACCCAGATACTGTACTGTACCTCTTCCTTCCCTAATAGCCTTCCTGAAGGTTCCTGTGTGTGGAGTTTTGCGTCAACATCGCCAAGAGGCGAGTAGAGGAACCTGGAGTCTGCGTGATTGCTCTTCCTCCCTTCATTATATCTGCAAGAAACCACACCAAGCTACGCTCTCCTTTCAGAATTCCAGCGGTTGTAATGAAGTAATATTATTATTATTATTATTATTATTATTATTGTTCTTATCAATATTTTCATCATTATTATTTTGATTATTTTTGGTCATAGAACGTGGTAGTTGAGCTCCCAGTTTCACCCAGTTGTAAATAAGTACCTAAGTTTACAACTTGAGGAAGTGAAGTGTAGTACCAGCCATGCTACCTCCTTGTGTACCGAAGGCTTAGTATACAGTCATGCATAATGATTATGAGACCCACTCTTATTATTGTTGATATTATCATTACAGGGTGACGTTGTCCACCGAGAATCCTGTTACCACGTGCCTTCTTTGTTGGGGTCTTGGGCTCAGGCTAAAGACTTCTGTGTGGGCAATAATGGGGACCTTGCTGTTCTTAATGACAGGTAGGGAGGTGCTCATGGAAGGTAAGATATGATGTTTTTAAGATTTAAATAGCAGGTAGGTATATTTACAAAACTGCTGGGAATTAGGCAGGTATTTAATATAAACAAACAATTTTAGAAGGAATCTGAGGCATCACACGAGCTCCAAACTGGAATAAATACAACTGAAAATACCTTAATTGTCTCTTACACAAACATAAGATATAAAACCCATATAATATCATCGATATTTTCGTATAAATCAAATACCTGTAATGTGTTGTGGTCTTTTTCTTTAACAATATATTTCTTAGAATATATGTGTAGGTATGGTTAAAATTTCCTCGATTCCTTGCAATATCTGGCATCTACTTGTGATTAATTTATGAATTTGCTGTTTTCATTATAATATATGTGTAAATAACAGCGTTAACACAACGATAATAAGAAAATAACTGAGTAAATAGGCAATAAAATCTACCAAATTCATCTCCTGCATGATCCTCAAGTCTGATACTCTTATGAAACAAGGAACTGTGTCCGTAACTGTACAGTCGGAAACCATAATCTCTAGCCCACCTGGGTCGGTGCTGGATGTGAGTACAGTGTCCTTTCTGGACAGGGGCCCACTCTAACTATCACGAGGCAACACAGGCACGAACACACACAGTCATAGTACGGCTGTATAGATGACATTGTGAATAAATATTGTATATGGCATTTTATTCTCTGCATTATCTTCATTATATATGAACACGAAGAAAAATTACCATAGGTTGTAGTTACGAAAGTATGAATGGAAATAACACTTCCAAACCACCCAGTGAGTCCACACAACGTTTACAGCGCTTGTGTGTGTGTGCCAGACCACGATGCTTCCACCACACCCCATCATTCGCGTAACTATATGAAAAAACGTGTTTAATTTAACTGCATATTTCAAAAACCTTAAATTACATGTGGATCAGTCACTCCTCATTTGACACACTTATAGTGTAATACTTTGACCATCCCACCTGGGCGCATGGAGGCCCACAGTATTTCTCACGGGGCAACATACGCACGAACACACAAGTTATGATATGAACCCTTCCTGGCTTCACTATCATTATCATGTTATGTTCATCCTGCTCTGTATCTTGGTAACTAGTCATAGTATCAATACATGACAGTGTTAATAGTATAATATTGTAACTTTTTACCTACAGTTATTGTTGTAAATTATGGACAGGAAGGATACATAAATTGTAATATCAAGTGTATGGTTCGCTCAAAGCCACCCCAAGTCAGACAACGCGTCACACAAAATTGCACGATGCTCACAATGACGAACGAGAGAAACCTCTTTATGAAACATCTTACCTACTAAGGATGAAGCTTAATGTTACAGAACACACACACACACACACACAGTGCAACTTTGTGTGACGCGTTGTCTGACTTGGGGTAGCTTTGAGCGAACCATACACTTGATATTACAATTTATGTATCCTTCCTGTCCATGATTTACAACAATAACTGTAGGTAAAAACCTGTGAAACGGGCCCATTTTATGTAGGTACGAAAGCGCCTTCATTTCATCGCTCCTGAGGGAAGTGGGAGAGAGCGCGTGGGTCGGCCTGGCTGGCACCATAAACCCTGACCGCTCAGTGGTGTTTCGCTGGACGAACCTTGACCCCGTCGAATATACCAACTGGGGCGAATCACAACCAGGTGAGTCTTGTTTGAGTAGCCCGACTGTGGATGGTCTTGTTTATCAAAAGTTTGTATTTTCACAGTTTTGAAGATAGAAAGGTAAAATTTGGTAGGGAGTTGCGGGTGGACTTTAGGATAGTCATACAGTATATCCCTTGCTCATCCACCCGGGTGATGCCGGATAATTCACCTTGTTTAACTGTTGTTCGCCGTCTTCCCTAGACGAGATCAAGAGACGTTATCAATTAGTGAGGGAGGCACCAGTTAAGAGGGAATGTGCATTAATTAACAGTGGAGTGTGTTCATAACAAAAAGCTGGGCGCCGGTTGGGTTTAGAGATGGATGTGCTACTGGAGTAATGGTAGGGCCACATGGGTAAATTAGACTTACAGTACATCTTAGGTCCATGTTGTAGTAGTGGGGAAGCCAGGCAAGCTAAACACACCCAGTAAGACATTTTGAAAGAATGAAACACAACGAGCGAGGAAGAGTTGCGCTGCTCTTGATTCTGGCCACCCTGAAAAAAGGTCAGTACAAATATGACTTCCCAGAACCTAATTACTTAAGCTGCAAAACTTTGATGAGAACCTTAGAGTTAATAGATCTTCAATTTAGTTCAAATCATTAAATTTGCCTGAGCCTGAGAACATGTTGCTGGCAGCTAACAGGAAAATCTGGATTTATGAAGACATACACAAGGAAATGTTCTACTGTAAGAGGATTTTTGGATGTGTCACTCTGTATATTAATTGTCTACGCGTATTAAATTATTATTTTTCTTTAATCACACCTCCCCCCCCCACTAGCGGTGACGTGTGGGACCTGCGTAGCCGCGTCAGGAGACGACACCAGCGACAGGGACTTTGAGGAGGACATTTTAGGTCAGTTGCAGGACCATCAGCACCTGCTCCAGCCGCTCCCACGGACTGACTTCACCAGACTGGTGGACGGAAGCTACCTGACGGAACGCATTGTTCCTGCAGATGTGTCAGCCGTCATAAAAGGGTTTAAAAACAAATCACCTGGTCAAAGTCACATTAACAAGAAGATCCTGGCTCAACTCCCCGGCAACATGATAGAGAGGCTTGCTCATATATGCAACGCCTGCCTCGCCTCTGGATACTTCCCTAAGATGTTCAAAATCGCCGTTATTCGCCTCATACCAAAAGCAGGGAAGCCTCCAAACAAAGTCGAAAACTTTCGACCAATATCGCTGCTAGAGGTACCTGCCAAAATCTTCGAAAAAATAGTCAACAAGCGATTGCGGATGTATCTGGAGGACGAAGACGTGCATAATCCCCGCCAGTTCGGCTTCCGCCAGTACCGAGGCACATCCACCGCCATAGCTCAGGCCTACGAGCAGATCGCCAATGCCATGACTGGCCGCCTACAGTGCAATATAGTACTGAGGGACGTCAGCAAGGCGTTTGACAAAGTTTGGCACGCAGGACTGCAGTATAAGATCATACAACTGGGGCTACCCGAAAATCTGACTCGCCTGCTGTGCAACTTCATTACGGACCGCAGAGCCAAAATTAAGATGCAAGAACATTTTGGAGAAGAATTCTCACTATCGAGCGGCGTGCCTCAGGGCTCTTGTCTCTCACCAACCCTTTACACACTCTACACGGCTGACCTGCCACCCCCAATCGTCGGCAGCGAGTACGTCATGTATGCAGACGATGTAACACAGATCGTCACCTGCCCAGGAAGGTCCACGGCAAGGATGGCGCGACTCACTGCTCGGGCAATAGAGGAGATCTCGGAGTATGAAAATAAATGGAAAATAAAAACAAACAAAACGAAATTTGAGGTCATACCCATAGCCAAATTCAAGCCGGCCCCATTGATGATCGACGACGAAGAGATTGAGTACTCTAAACAAGGCAGGTTGCTCGGCCTCATCATTTCTCGGACGGGCATCATTCCCCACGTGAAGGACAGACTAAATAAAGCCAAAGTCGCCGCAGCCAAATTAAAACGTTTTAAATTGATGCCTGAGAAGATACAAGTTCACCTGTACAAGGCGCTGGTGAGGCCTGTGTTGGAGTACCCATCTATACCACTCGTCACACTCGGGAAGACTAGACTACAACAACTACAGAGCTTCCAAAACAAATGTTTGAGGTCAGCCAGTGGCCAAGCGCCACCCTACCAGGAGACAGTGGAAACCATCCACCTAAGAAATAAAACAGAGGCCCTCAACTTCAGGTTCCATCGCCTAGGGAAGAAGGTTTGGGACAAGCTCCTGGACGACCCTCACAGCCCAGACCACCTACGCGGGGAAGACATCAACGGAGGGAGACCCCACGCCTGGTGGCCCCGGAGTCTGCCCACACTACAACAACCCAACCCGCGATCCATCTATGTCCGCCACAGTGATCCACCTTAGATTAAAACTTAGATGATATAAATTCACATTTAACAAGTCAAAATCGAGTGAGTCCATAACGTAATACAGTATAAGATGTTAATAAACTTGTAATTGTAAAATCAATCTAGTCATTGTCTACTAAAATAACCATTGTGCAACCTCATTCTAAATCCTAGGTTAGCTTAGTTAGCCAACAAACTCTGTAATATGTAAAACAAGGGGTGTCGTCCCCCTCTGTTTAACTCATTAAACTTCTTTTCCAACCTTTCCCCCCACGACTATATGTTGTGACTTCTCCATCCCTCATGTCTGGCTGTGCCTTGAGCCCCAGCATGCCTTCCACCCTTTCCCCACCTTAACCTAAAAAAAAAAAAAAAAAACGACACCAGCTTAGGCTTATGGTCTGTCAGGTCCTGCGACGATTCCCTCCGTTTCATATGTATGTCCCTTAGTCTTTTCTCTCTTTGTTTCTGAGTCTGTATCTTCTTTATTTATTAAACTATTAAGCTTTCAATCACTTTAAATATCTTTCTCTCAATTTATATCCTATTTATTACATTAAACTTTCAATCACTATATTAAATAAACAATTCGACATAAAAGTTTTAAGAAATTATCGCCTCCATAATATTCCATTAATTTACGTAACTCCAATAATTACTATATTATTATATCTAACTTAGAATTCAAGTAATTATTATTACAAACAAGCTATACTGAACGTCAATATAAACCTAAAAAAACCGTATACATTCTATTATTATATATTCATAACAATGTGCTTCTTTCCTCTCTCGCCACTCATCATCTATATTATCTACCTTATATTCCCTTACAATCAAGTTTTAGTTTATACTCTTCTTGTTCTTCATCTCCTCGTACTGCTTATCAATCTTCTCCCCTATCCTTACCTCCATCTCTCCCTATTTTTTCAATTACCTATTCCCCCACTACCTTTCAGTTACCAAATTTAATTACCCCTATGCCCTAATAATTACCTGCCAGTTACACCTTCATGCCTATTTACAGGTGAGTACTCTCGGAATGACTACGATATCACCACTCCTTCAACACCACCCCCAACAGCACCTGTGTGGCCATGTGTTGGTGACTGGATGCTTATTAACGACCGCTGCTACAAGGTGACTCACAAACTTTATGACCAATGTTTTGATGTGTTTTATCAGGTGTGTATATTATGGCTATACTCAATCGGTGTGTGTGTCAACAATTATTCGTTCAACACAATTAACTTGGTTTTGGTTTTTCCACAAATGGACAAATTTAACAACTTTTGTTTACCTAACTTTTGTTTACCTACACTGTCACAGTCACAGATATCAAACCGATGCTCGAATAATAAAACGTTGTATCCTACCTGCATGAAAACATAAAAACATCAACTGAAGCATGTCTGTGGGCTCTGTAGTGAGTGGTGAAGCGTTGTCTGGTGAAGTACAGTACAGCATGAGTCTACAGTACATCATCCACATGTCCTGTACACATTCAAGTATCACACATTTAGAATACTATTGTTTAAAAACGTTTTTTATAACGAAATCATAAATAATATATAAGTGATTTAATTAATTAGTAAATGATTTTTAGAATATATCATTATGTATATACGTTTGTGTGTGTGCATGTGCGTGTGTATAACACCAATGGTATCGTGCAGCACCATTTTTCATTGTGACGAGAGTCTGTGCAATTCACTTCGATGGCCAGTTGGCATATGTATATAGGTCTGCCGTCCTTATGTAAGCGGTGTAAATAAAGACCTAAAATCTAACTAAAAACCCAATTCACCATTCAGTCAATCTAAGTTTTATAATAATAATACCACTCCTCACGATTTAGGTTTCCTTAAGTATCCCGTTGAAAATTCTAGGTTTTCCTTGAAACAACAACTTGGGCCAGAGGGGAAGCCTTGTGTTTATCATACAGTGGACATCTGACCAGCGTGGGCAGTAGAGGCGAGGAGGACAATATAAAGAGGTACGTCACTGTATAGGATTCAACTGATTTTCTCAAGGAATTATGAGGACTATCACTAGCTAATCTACACTTCAAAGTTGTAGAAGGTTACAGCTTCACAGTTAAGTGTTCATTTACTTGTAATGAATAATGAACAGTGAGAGATTAAATAAAAAAAAGAGTTTTCCCCAACATGAATAATTTTTTTTTTCAGAGTTCTCGAAATGACCCTTCTTGAGCAAACCCACCCGTTAATTTGGGTTGGTCTACATCTCGACGGAGAGTCAGGTAAGATGAAAAAATGAAAATGAGATAGAGAGAAAGAGAATGGGAGAGAGATTTTATAAATCTGTACACAAGACATAATTCAAATCTTCTGTACGAACTGATGATAATACGGTCAGCATGCACGGCTTTAACAACATGAAGACTGTTTTGATAGTTACGAGATTCTGATGACTTCAAAACCTTCATTTGAAACTTTTAACAAGTATCTCAAGATTTATCATTAGAAATATAATCAAAAAATTTGCACAGCGATCTGTCCATGTTACAGGACACGTATGGAGTGATGGCACGGCGGTGCAGTACGTACGTTGGGGAATAGAACAGCCTGATAGCCACCGGGGACAGCTGAGGTGTGGCACTGCCTACACCTCCACACTCATGTTGGCTGATGCAGACTGTTACACATTTCTCCCGTTCATATGTGAGGCCCCTCAAGGTAAGATCGTGTATGTAGTATAATTCTGTATGCTCTTAAGGCCTGTCTATTATAAATACCCAATTGGTTAACAAAAACAATGACTAAAAGGTAATATAAACCTAGCGTATACGTGATAAGAAACGCAAGGCTCACGTGAATGACTCATTGCGTTAAATCGTAACCATTTAATCATGTAAACCATTATTAACATCTCTCGCCATATACAGGAATGAAACACCCGACTTCTCCCCTCACAAAGTCTCCTGATGTACTGTGTGACGGGGACACCTCATGGCTGCTCTTCGGTGATCAGTGCTACAGGTTTTTCTCAGCTTCTTACGACAACCCCGAGACCTGGAGGTCATCGAGGCTCAGGTGTCGAGAGCAGGGAGGGGAGCTCGCGTCCATCCACACCAACGAGGAGAACTATTGGATTCTGTCTAAGGTAGTTGGGCGGGTATATAGGGCTGTGGAGGGCTGGCAATAAATGAAATTAAGTGAACAATAAGAGCGGATGTATATTGATAAATAAAAATATTAATTGCATAAGTGAATAGTTAGACCGATAGTTAAACGAGACTAATAGAAGATATATAATGTGGTCTTGCAGCTGAAAAAAGCATATATTTCTACAACAAAAATATGTATATTGACGAGTATTTTTTTTATGCCATGCTCTTGAAATTTAATTCTCGTCTGCAGTAATAATTCTCTATTACCAATAATTTTAAAATGCAGATTTTGGGGTTATCCGATGAGATGGTGTGGGTTGGTGGCCGGTCTGTTCTGGATTCCGGGTACCAGTGGCTCGACAACACCACCTTTGACTTCGACAATTGGGCAAGAGGAGAACCCAACAACATTTTGGGTACTGAGCAGAGAGAGAGAGCGGTTCTGAGAGTTTCAAGTTATACACATACTGAAACAAAAGGACCATTGTATTCATAATTCCAATCTTCAATTTATCCTTCTTTTATTAATTTATTAAGATCCCACTTTATACAAATTTATTTCAAAACATAAATACAGGTAAAAGTTCAAGAATATCATGTAAAATGTTACATATGGTAATACTTGTATCTTCTTTATTTCTCAGGTCAAGAGGACTGTATAGTATTGTATAGTCAGCAGGAGGGTCGCTGGGGGGACAGAAGCTGTGACACCCTGGCTGGCAGTATCTGTAAGCGTAGACACGGTACCAATCCATCGACTCCAGCCGTCACCACCGCCACCCCTCTCGGACACTGCCTACAAGGATGGCTACACTCTGGTCTCACGTCATACTTCATTTATTTGTAACAATACTGTGATCGAAACTATGGTATTTCCATGCTAACCTGGCCTGTAAGCCCCGCCCCTCGTCTATAGCTACAAATAGCTCATTGGTTCCCCTGAGCGTTTTACCTCCCACTAGACTGCGCGTATATAAGCGCATATTTATATATAGATCTTTTATTATAAATATTTGAAGTTTTCTAACATCCTCTCGGAAGTGCTAATAGCTTGAAATGATTTGCATTTTGATAATCCATATATTTAACATTATTGTGAACAATTTAGTTTGAATGTTCTATGAATTTTCTATTAGTATAGAAGAGTTGGCGTGGCTTACGGGCCAGGTTAGTGTGGAAAGGGTATAACTACTACACAGTCGATGCCATACTACGATTTCATTTTATAATGTTAATTCAGAAAAAAATAGAACAGTTACATGATACAGATGCTCTGGTTACAAGATCTCAGAATAATAGTAATACAGTATACGTGGTAACATAAAATATCAGGTCAAATCACCTTAAACAGTATATCATACAGAGTTGGAAACAGGTGGACGTATTATAATCATTTGATTTGATGAGTAATTGTTCCAGTTTCTTTATAAAAACTATGTTGGGTGCTGTCCTTGGCTTCACTGTTCTGGTGAAAAAAAATTTAGTGGCGAATTTCTTTTTAAACACAGCTGTGTGTTTTTGTTTATTGTGGTAACACTATGATATACATATATATATATATATATATATATATATATATATATATATATATATATATATATATATATATATATATATATATATATATATATATATATATATATATATATATATATATATACACACATATTGGCTGATAGTGACTTGCAATATCTGTCAAGACGGCAGTTGACACCAACTACCCTTGGCAACCATTCATTGTCAACTCTCCTTTTAGGTAGGACACCACATATATTAGGGATCCCTCCCTTCACCCTAATACGTTCTATAATTGTCTTGAACTTATCAAGGAGCTCCTCACTCCTACACCGGCCAATATCATTGTCCCCTGCACTGAGGCAGATTGGGTTTGTTCCCATCACCAGACAAGATATTGTCCATCCTGTCAACTATATCCCCCACCCCAACTCCTGGCAATCACTCTCTCATTTTATTTCTATTATTGGCCCCAAAAAAATCTGTCTAGGTACCGTACCTTGGTATCACCAACAATTAAGGTTTTCGTATCTTCCTTGTCAGCCTTGTTCCTGGCTATGTTACCGTCCAATTCGTCTAGCAAAGGACTAAGAATGTTAGTACACTTAGCTGTAGTTGTTTCCTTGTCTTTCTTCACCGACAGTTTGGTCTTTCCTCTCTTAACAACCTGTGAGCACATGTCCAGAGAGCATATGAGACATACTTTCTTAGATAAAGTTTACCAACCTCTCTCTTCTGTGTGTGAAAGTTGTGAAGCGGTGAGGCTGATGTTAAGGTCAGCAACGACCTTCTGAACCCTGCCCTGAAGGGGTTGTCTCCAAGGAATTACTTTCATTATTATGACGATGTAACAAGGTTTATAAGTGTTAGAATATAATAGTATAGTACTATGCATATTAATATGTCACTATTACTGGCGGATCATGGGTCAGTGGGTCACCTGGGAATGAATTAAACGTAGGTCATGGTGGGTCATGATGAATCTTGCGTCATATGGCTTACCCACTTGAGTCGGGAGCAGGTCAAAATGGATCAAGCCTGAAATGTCGTGGTTTAGAAACTTTTAATAGAATTTGTAAAAACTTGTTCGTGTTTTACCCGTTAACAGGTTATTTTTTGTTTAAAGATAAAACAATTACAGTCATGGTACGCCATATTAAGGTCATAATACGGTCAAATACATACATTAACAGCAATGTCGTTAAAACTTTAACATACAGCAATCAGCCTTAAACACAGGATTTTCGTAAATGGAACGGCTACAAATTCATTTTCTGAGTAAGACCAATGAAGTTCTAAAGTCTGTCATTTTCATTAACCTAATTTCCCCACCTTAATATCAGTGGAAAAATGTTATGTTAGCTAGTGTTATAAAAATCGCCAATTTCATCGCTAATCCCAAAGTAATATTTTTTCATAACCATATTTAGTAAAAAAAGATCGCTTAGTCAGGCAGCCCTGCAGGGTGAGGCCAAACATCAAGTGATGACGCCGACTAAAGGCTTTATATGTCATGTGAGATAATGTTCTCTTAAAAGGTGAAGTTGCTACGAACTCATCCTTGTATTGAGGGTTAGTTATCTCTTTTATCCGAGAGATGTTGCACTCAGAGCATTTAGTATTTTCTCTCATTTGCTTTTTAGTGCTTGGTGCTCTTTTAGTTTGCGATGTGAAACAATTTATGATGACCAGAATATAAGAATTTACCTAAAACCTTAATAGATTATCATCCTCGTCTTTAGGTTCCAAGTGCCTCAAATTCTCCAAAGAAAAGAAGACCTTCGATGGAGCGGTGGAGGCGTGTACGTCTCCCTCTAAGTTAGCAAGTATTCACTCACCCCAGGAGCAAGGTTTGTTTTGTTTCTCTCTTATTGTAATCCCCATAAATATAATAATAAAAAAATGGAGTTCACCATCACCCCCATCATCGTCAATTTACGGATATTTTTCCACGTTTGCCTGGGTTAGCCATGGTTACCTGATGGTACAGCGAAACTCGTGTAACTCACAACAATAATTGAAGGGTTGAGCCTCGGCCCTGACACATATGAGAATGGTGTTGTCCAGTGCAACCGTATACCAAACATGCAAGTGAAGGACACAAATACCTTAAGGTACATGGATTATGACGGCAACTCTCATAAGAGGCCCCGAGTGTGACAAGCTACCAAGCGCCAGAAATCACAATCGAGGAAAACGTTCTTAAAGTTTCGAAAAATTCAAATTGACGTAACTCTTGAACCAATGAAGATAATGAGTTCATTCGAGTGGCAGTGTATAGAGCTCTTAAAGCTTGTCTCGCAGATACTAAAGCCATATTAATTGAAACGATTGTTTATTGCAAAAAATATATTTCCCATAGTTTCAGCCTGCTCGAGGATCTTACTCGGGTCCGCTAACTTGCGAGGCGAGCATGCTGACCATTACACCACAGGTTGCCTCACCCGTACAAGCTGGAACACGACACGCCACGTGCCACCAGCCTTCACTCCCACCCTCGTCGTCCTATTTTCTCTCTGTATTGTTTATGTTTTACTAAATGGCCCTCACTCCCTCGTTTCTGCCAGATGGAAAATAAAATAAGGTTAAGTTTTATTACATAGCATTCCTATGATATTTTTGTAGAAACATGGACTCCCATTAGCTAAGAAACAGGAAAATAATGAGTCGCTATGAGCGAGAGAGGCTACGATTGGGGGTCTCGGGCGCTTGTGATAAATGGCAGAGAAGAGTGAAAAATGGCAGTGAAGAAATAAGAAAAGCATTGAACATCTACTTCTTATCAGTTTTCACAGAAGAAATTTGGGATGAAATTCCAGAGGTGGAACTGATATTTAAGGAAAAGGAAGAAGAGAAATTAAAGAATATCACTATCAGAAAAGTGGATGTTCTTAAGAAGATAAATAAACTAAAGAAAACAAAATCCCCAGGGCCGGATGAAATTTTCCCTCGAATCTTGAAAGAGTGTAGGGAACAGATTAGCGGACCCCTCGTAAACTTATTTACAAAATCATTAGACACCGGAGTTGTGCCAGACTTGTGGAAACAGGCAAATGTAGTACCCATATTCAAAAAGGGAGACAGAGCATCAGCGTCAAATTACCGGCCGATCAGTTTGACGTCAGTAGTGGGGAAATTTCTTGAATCAATTATAGCAGATAGCATCCGATCGTATCTAGAGAAAAGCAAATTAATCTACGACTCTCAACATGGGTTTACAAAGGAAAAATCTTGTCTAACAAATCTGCTGACGTTTTTTAGGAAAGTCTTCGAGGTAGTAGATAATAACGAAAATTACGATGTTATTTACTTAGACTTTAGCAAAGCATTTGACAAAGTACCGCATCAGAGGCTTCTGAGAAAAATTAAGGCTCATGGTATCGAGGGGAAAGTTTTAAATTGGATAAAATCATGGCTCACCGATAGAACGCAGAGGGTCAGCGTAGATGGTGTTAAATCTGAGTGGGGCCGCATAACCAGTGGAGTTCCCCAGGGGTCAGTACTAGGCCCACTCTTGTTCATAATCTACATAAACGATCTAGATACTGGGATCAGCAGTGACATAAGCAAGTTCGCGGATGACACCAAAATAGGGCGGCAGATTAATTCAGTGCAGGATGCAAATGCATTACAGGAGGATCTAAATAAACTGCAGGGGTGGTCTGAAAAATGGCAAATGAAATTCAACACCAGCAAGTGCAGCGTACTTAATATTGGATGAACAAATACTGATAATGTATACAGCCTTAACAACATCAACCTAGAGAAGTCGACTTGTGAAAGAGACCTAGGGGTACTTGTAAGCCCGGACCTACGGCCTAGAAAACAGTGCGTTAATGTTCGAAATAAGGCAAACAGAGTATTGGGTTTTATATCTAGAGGTGTAAGTAACAAGAGTGCAGAGGTCTTATTGCAACTATATCTTCGCTAGTTAGGCCACACCTCGATTATGCGGTTCAGTTGTGGTGCCCCTATTATAGAATTGATATAAATTCACTAGAGTCAGTGCAGCGAAGAATAACAAAAATGATTCCAGGACTTAGAAACCTACCATATCAGGATAGGTTAAAGAAACTTAACTTGCATTCCCTAGAAAGACGAAGAGTGCGGGGAGATATGATAGAAGTATTTAAGTGGGTGAAAGGAATCAATGAAGGGGATATAGATAAAGTTCTTATAATATCCGAGCAAGATAGAACTCGGAGCAACGGATTCAAGTTGGATAAGTTTAGGTTTAGGAGGGAGATAGGAAGAAACTGGTTCACAAATAGGGTGGTGGACGAGTGGAACAAGCTTAGCAACTTTGTAGTAAGTGAGGGAACTCTGGAAAGTTTCAAAAGGAAGCTAGATAGATTCGCGGATGATAGAGAGTGGTAGTAACTCTCGACAGGAGCTGCCATGCACAGGCAAACCGGCCTATTGCAGACTCCTTATTTTCTTATGTTCCTATGTTCTTGTCCCTTTCTCCCCTTCAGTCCGCCTGCAGGCGCAGATCACGCACTGTAGGGACGCTTTTATCTTCCTTTACTAATATGGCTCTCAGCCTTACAAATATTGCGCTACCAGGACAGTTTGTGTTTCTGCAGATAGAAGAAAGACTGAGGAGTACAGATAATATCATAACTATTTTTTTTTGCGGGGGGGGGGGGACGCCTGGTACCTTGTCGTACTCAGCGCTTCCAGGATGAGAGTGTGGCGGGAAGGGAAGATTCCCGATACAATACAGCTGTTTATGGCAACGTCTGGCAGGTCTCTAATAAGTTTATCGGAATAAGATATTTGGTCATGAGGAAAGGGTGTTGGTGACGGATGGGAAAGAGAGATTGCTCAAGAACGCTTGAGATTTGACCTTCGGCCTGGTGTTTATTATTTTTCTGTATTGGCAGCTCAGAATACATTAACAGCAATGACTCAGTGTTAGAAGAACTGAAACATGGTTGCACCTCAGTCAAACAATATTCACTCTGAGTCAATGATTTGATTAAAGTAAGTTTATGGATAATATTCCTGACTGAAAATTTCCCCAGCTCCTTGACCCCTTCAAACTATGAGAGCCCTGTTTACACCGGTCCAACGAATTACCCAAAAGTACACAAATGTACACAAATGTACCCAAAAGTATATTAGATAGGGGTAAAATCTTAACGAATATATGTTTTACATCAATAAAACCTGATTAATAATGTTTTCATTGAAATATAGTCAAAATAATGAAATAATAAACAGCGAAAAACGCTAAATTCCAAAGAGTCACCTATCCAAAATGGAGATATAATTACCGATGTTTTGTGTTACTTTGGGGTATTTAACATAGCCGTAGGATTTACTTTTCGTTAGGTTAGGTTAGGTTAGCGAAGTGCATCACGATGGATCAGAGTTATCTCCCTTGTTCACGAACTCTTTGGAATTTAGCGTTCGCCAATACTGAAAGTTTTTCGCTGTTTATTATTTCATCTTACAAATTATTTTTGCAAAATTACGCTAAAAATATTATTAGACATGTTTTATGTATGTATAACAGATATTAGTTAAGATTTTACCCTGATTTAATATACTTTTGGGTACATTTGGGTACTTTTGGGTAATTCGTTGGACCCCTGTTACACCCCGTACTTGCACCGTTAAGCAGTTCTCAGTTACACATCTTAATAGTAATAATTTTGGGATTTGAAAAGTGTTTATTTTCTTTTTATACATTGTATATTGATTAATATATTTATGTGGCTTTCTTAAAGAATTGACAGACATTATAAACACCTAAAGCAATCACTCTTTATTAATATATATATACATATATATACATATATATATATATATATATATATATATATATATATATATATATATATATATATATATATATATATATATATATATATATATATATATATATATATATATATATTTCATGTAAATCCACAATGAAAACGTGGAAAATAAATCTTGATAAAATCACACGGGAAAATGGAAACAACGGAGTACCTTAGCTTTCGTCTTTATTCAAGACATCTTCAGAGGCAACTAGATTACATGGACAGAGAGAGGCTTAAATATACAGGGTGACCTAAAAACATGAGGTCAGGTCATAATGATGACATCCACTAATCCCCACACCAACACAACCGTAGAGGAGCTTAAGAGAAGGGTGGTGACGTGACTAGACAGGTCAGGTCAGAAAAAAGGGACCCACAAAATAACTGTCATACATCAAGATCAAAGGTTTTCAAAGCAGTTTTAACCTTGGGCCACTGACAAATAAATTTATGTAACATATTATCAGTTTTGAACTGACCATCACTAAGGTTTATTGATTTTAATTCCTTAATCAAACTAGCTTCAACCAGAAGTCTTTCTGTGACACAAGATGATTTGAATACTTCTAAGCTTTTTTCCCAAGCAATGGGGTGATTATTATTCCTAACATGAACGAACAAGGCACTGCTTTCAGATGCAGTTCTGATATTATACTTATGTTGTTTGATTCTGAGCTGCAGTGTTTTTCCTGTCTGACCTACATAATTACAATTACATTGGCTACATGGAATACAATAAACACTTCCATTTACATTCAAACTTGGGCTATTCCTTATTAACATATTGGTAATGGTTGAGTCATACTTGAAAACAACATTAATATTTAGAAGCTTGAGGGACCGAACTAAAGGGACAAATTCATCACGATAGGGCAGAGTCAAAATATTCTTAAGTGTAGGAACTTGTCTGGTTACAGAGGAATGAAAGGATTTTTTAGCCCTTTTAAAGCAACGATCAACAAACACAGAAGGGTACCCAAGTTTCTGTGCAATAGAACGAATGTGTTTAAATTCGTCGTCAATAAATTCAGAGTCACAAATACGCAGACATCGTAGGAACATAGCAGAAAAAACTGACATTTTGGTAGACTCAAGGTGATTGGATAAAAAGTGAATGAAACTGTCTACCTGTGTGGGCTTTCTATATACCTTAAATTTATAGTTTTGGCCATTTCTCATGATAAGCATATCAAGAAATGGAAGGGATTCACTTATTTCTCTTTCAATTTTGAATGTGATACTAGGGACAATATTATTAAGCTTGTCTAAAAATTCCAAAGGGTCACTGTTTTTAGGCCAAAGACAAAGAACATCATCTACATATCTATACCAAGGAGGAATACAGTCCACTACATTGGGGAGTAATCTAGACTCAAAGAACTCCATATAAATACAGGCTAGAGGAGCAGAAAGACAATTACCCATGCTCATGCCAAATACTTGCTTGTAGAACTTCCCATTTGCACTAAACACATTGTCAGTTACGCATAACTCTATCAATTTCAGGAAAGTATCATGTTCAATAGTTAAATCTAGCAGTTGTAATTTATCTTTAAGAAATGAAAGTAAGTCTTTCACAGGTACTCTAGTGAACAGTGAATTTACATCAAAACTTATTAATTCGCAAGGTTCGTTGTGTTTCTTGAGTTTATTTGTTAGTTCAGTTTTGTTATTCTACCTTCCGCGTAAAACATTCTCCTGTGATTGTCTGTCCAGAGCCACTGTCACTCTTCTAGACTAGCCAAGAGACTGTCTTCTCATAGCTTTCCTGACGGCGGTGCTGGGGGACCTGGGAACGAACGTGTGGCTGGGACTCAGGAATAACCAAAGCTTCCACTGGAAGGACAACACCTCTGTAACCTATACGAGCTGGGCCCCAGGGGAACCCAACGGCATTGATGGAGAGGTCTGTAAAGTTTCATGTCTGCGGCAGCCAAGTAAACTGTACACAAACTTACTTTCAACCATGGTCGAGAAAAAATTACATTTCTTTAGCCTGAATGGCACAGATATGCACGTAGATTCTGTTGCTATATTTATATCTTATCTGTCTGTATGTCCATCTGTGTCTCTCCGTGATGCATGTTGTATGTGTACTGTTACTTGCAGGAAGGATGTGTTGAGGCCTCGCATGTCACAGGGTTATGGAGTGACGTTCCCTGTACCTCCACACGTGGCTATGTCTGTATGGTAGATACTGGTAGGTTACTTCAGTTTTTAGTGTGGCAACATGACGTCTAATTATTTTTAGATCAAATGTTCAAATGTCAAAGTTAAAAACTTTGAAAAAGTACCTGCTACAGTGAGTTGGCTCCTTCGTATATAGAGTACGATAAAGATATTCTGCCAGTGAAAGTAGTTATTATGTTGACATTATTCTAACGATTTCTTTCTGCCACTACACGGGAAGCAAAACACCGATGACATTGCAAGAAATTATGGAAAGAAAATGCGTGTGGGAAAAGTGTCTATGGCGGTAAGATCTCTCACAGAGCAATCCTCCGGTGGGCTTCTGCCAATAAACAGAGAGACACTAAAACAACTGAAAGAAAAACATCCCCCTGCAAGTGAAGACGAAGGCATAAGGTTCCAGGGTGACTATATCCCACCAAACGCTATCCTGTTCTAGAAAAATAACAGGAGGGATGGTGTGGAAAAAGGCACTGAAGACTCGAGGAGGTGCCGGCCCTTCAACTCTGGATGCAAACGGTTGGAGAGTCATCCTCAGCACTAACAAGTTTGGCCCCGTAGCAAGTGATCTCTGCACTGCTATTGCTGTCCTTGCAAGAACGCTGGCATCCTCGTGCTGCCAACACCTCCATGCTCTGACGGCCTGCCGCTTCATTCCCCTGGATAAGAATCCAGGATGTAGGCCTGTGGGGGTGGGAAAGTGCTGAGACGGATAATCGGAAAATGCATAAGGTAGGTGGTAAAGGATGATGTCAGGGCAGCAGCAGGGAACCTGCAAGTTTGTGCTGGCCACCAGGCTGGAGGGGAAGCTGCCATTCACGCCATGAAAACGATATTTGAGCAGCGTGATTATGAGGCCGTTCTTCTGGTGGACGCGTCAAACGCATTCAACATACTTAACCACAAGGCCGCACTGCACAACATCAAGATCAAGTGTCCAAGCTTTGCAATATATGTTGAAAACTCCTATTGGAATCCATCGGACCTCTATATAGTAAGCAACAAGGCTCTAAGAGATGATACCATCATTCAGTCAACCGAGGGAATAAGGCAGGGAAATCCTGCAATAGGCCTATCCGTGCTCCAACACACAATAAAATTTGAAACAACTGAGGTCAAGTAAGTGGCGTACGCTGATGACCTTAAAGGAGCAGGAAAAGTGGATGACATCACAAAATGGTGGAACCTCGTAACATCACGTGAACCACAAATAGGGTACCACCTAAACGCCAGCAAGTCCTTCCTCATTGTTAAGCCAGAACATTATGAACGGGCAATGGAGGTGTTCGGTGGAAGTGAGGTCAAAATAGCAAAAGATGGCCAAAGACACCTAGGCGCAGAAATCGGCACGACGGACTTCAAGACCGAATATGTAACGGGAAAGGTGAATGAGTGGGTTAGGGAAATCCAAGCTCTGCCTGATATTGCTCACACAGAGCCACATGCGGCTTTTGCGGCATTCACCCATGGAGTCAAGCATCGCTGGAACTACCTGATGCGCACTATCCCTGATATTGGACCCCTCCTCCATCCTCTGGAAGAAGCTATGAGCGTTAATTTCATTCCCAAATTAGTGAAACACCCTCACTTAACCACAGGAAAAAAATCACTCCTTGCACTACAACCGAGACTGCGAAGAATTTGATTGACCAATCCAGAGGAGATTGATGCCACTGAACATCAAATTCAGTTAAGCTCACGGCAGCCCTCACGTACCATATAATAGCTCAGAACGCAACATTTGAGGTGGACACCAGTGAAGTAAACAAGATTCGAAGGTCTATTACGAAAGAACGACAGCACGGCCAAAGTGATAAGTTGCAGCAACTGTTGCTGCAAATACCAGAAAATTTGAAAAAAAAAATAGCTATAGCGCAGGAAGTGGGCGCCTCGAACTGGTGAACTACGTTACCGATAAGGGCAAATGGTTTCAGTCTCAATAAACAATAATTTACAGATGCCATTGCTCTAAGGTACGGTAGGCAAGTAGAAGGTTTGCCCTCCCAATGCGTGTGTGGCTCTTCCTATGACGTCGATCACGCCATGGTGTGCAAGAAATGGCTTCATATGCATGAGGCATGGCGAAGTAAGGGATGTCACAGCACATATGTTGAAGGAAATCTGCCGTGATGTCAAGGTAGAACCGACCCTCCTTCCATTGGATGGTGAGATTTTCCAACATAGGACTTCAAACACATCCAACGAAGCCCGTGTTGACGTCAGTGCTCGAGGATTCTGGACGCGGGGACAGCGAGCCTTCTTCGACATCAGGATTTTTTATCCCATGGCTGCATGTCACCGTAACTTAGCTCTCGATGATACACACAGGAGGAACGAGAACGGCAAGATTAGGGAATACCGGAAGAGAATTAAGAACGTTGATCAAGGCAGCTTCACTCCTCAATTGTTCACAACCTCTGTGGGATGGGACCAAGTGCAAGATGCTTCTATGCCAGACTCGCGGAGGTGATATCCGAACAGAAGCAGCAGCCCAGAAGTTATGTTACAGCCTGGATGAGATGTCGACTGTCCTTCTCTCTCTTTAGGTCGGCTTTGCTCTGCCTCAGGGGAACGAGAGCATCGGCCCCAAAGCCGACAACAGTTGCAGATATTGACTATGAGGCAACAGTCACTGAATGCCGCATAGATAGGTACTTATGTATTAGGATATTTAATTTTAAGGTAATAGTAGTAGTAGTAGTAGTAGAAGTAGGAGGAGGAGGAGGAGGAAGTGGAGTAGGAGGTAAAAGTTGCAGAAGTAATAATAACATTATTAGTTTTATCATTATTGCACTATCTTTAATGATATTGCACAAAAAATAATTAATCTTTTCTACCAGACTCTCACCTGATGACCGAGGCTCCTTACACTACCTGTGCCTCACCCTTCAGCCTCTACATTGCCTACAATGGTGCCTGTTACCATCCCCACTCCACATACAAGACCTGGAAGGTAGGAAATATATACACACTATATGTCTAGTCTGAAGAGACTGGACGACTTCAGTAAATTACTCCTTTGCTTAATGAGGCACTTAATTTTGTATTCACCTGTCGAGTCTTTTTTTGATAAAATATTTTACTATGATACAAGAATAGGATTTTACGTTACAGTATATACAATGCCTAAGTAAATAATGCAATTGTATAGTCACATAATGCGTTCACAAAACAATGTATATCACCACACAATACTCTTACACAATACTATCACACATTACTATCACGAAGTACTATCACACAATACTATTACACAATACTATCACACAATACTATCACACAATACTATCACGATGTACTATCACATAATACTATCACACACTACTATCACATAATACTATCACGAAGTACTAGCACATAATAATATCACACAATACAACCACACAATACTATCACGATGTACTATCACATAATACTATCACACACTACTATCACATAATACTATCACACACTACTATCACATAATAGTATCACACAATACTAACACACAATACTATCACATAATGCTATCACACAATACTCTCACACAATACTCTCATACAATACTATCACACAATACTATCACACAATACTATCAGACAATACTATCACACAATACTATCACACAATACTATCACACAATACTATCACACAATACTATCACACAATACTATCACACAATACTATCTACACAATACTATCACACAATACTATCACACAATACTATCTACACAATACTATCACACAATACTATCACACAATACTATCACACAATACTATCACACAATACTATCTACACAATACTATCACACAATACTATCACACAATACTATCACACAATACTATCTACACAATACTATCACACAATACTATCACACAATACTATCACACAATACTATCACACAATACTATCTACACAATACTATCACACAATACTATCACACAATACTATCTACACAATACTATCTACACAATACTATCACACAATACTATCACACAATACTATCACACAATACTATCACACACAATACTATCACACAATACACACATACTATCACACAATACTATCTACACACATACTATCACACAATACTCACACTATCTACTATCACACAATACTATACTATCACACAATACTATCACACAATACTCTCACACAATACTATCACACAATACTCACACAATACTATCACACAATACTATCACACAATACTATCACACAATACTCACACAATACTATCACACAATACTATCACACAATACTATCACACAATACTATCACACAATACTATCACACAATACTCACACAATGCTATCACACAATGCTATCACACAATACTCTCACACAATACTCTCACACAATACTCTCACACAATACTATCACATATTCTTAACTCTCACATTCTCTTCATTCCTGATTTTGCCATCGACTAAACCTGTTATTACTGAGATAAACGCAAGTACAATAAGTCAGATGACAAGTAAATAAGATTGATTATTGATAATATCTAATTGTGTGTGTGTGTGTGTGTGGTAGGAGGCGGAGACCACGTGTAAAGATGAGGGTGCACACCTGGTGTCGGTGAGTGAGCCAACGGAGGGGGCATTTTTATGGATGCTGGCTAAGAATCACAATTTCACCCAAACATGGCTCGGTCTTCATTACAGCTACGTGAGTACAGTTCTCCTAGTCTCTCTGTATGGTTGGCAATTGTACATGTTTATTTCTATTTTTTTCAGTTGTAAAACAATTTATTTTATCAGTGACTTGTCCAAAGGTAAAAAAAAAAATAGTGCACATAAACGAGTACAGTATCATTCATTTGCAGAAAATTGATACATATTGCAAAAAACAGTTACATCAATGACTAACAATAGAAGCTAATATAAAATACCTTTATCAAATTTGGTGAATAATTTGATAATGCATTTAATTAACGATGCCTGTACTAGTTTTGTAATTTATATATATTAAATTAACTATACAAAATAACAACATAATTACATCAAATCACACTTCCTTTCTGTTTTGTTATAAGGACAACTCTCGGTTCTTATGGAGCGACTCTACCCCAACCACTTACACCAACTGGGGTATGAGTCAGCCGAACACCAGCCTAACCAACCATGCGTGCGTCTGGTTAAACTCCATGGGCGGACTTTGGTACAGCCAGTTGTGTGATGATCTGAGGCCATTCGTCTGTAAGTACAAGAATGGTAAGGTGTTTCCCAAGACTGATAAGATGTGGCTCAAGAATGGCATGATGTGGCCCAAGAAGGGTAAGGTGTGGGGCTTAAGAAGGGTAAGGTGTGGCTCAAGAATGGTATGATGTGTCCCAAGAAGGGTAAGGTGTTGCCCAAAACTGGTAAGCTGTAGCTCAAGAATCGTATGATGTGGCCCAAGAAGGGTAAGATGTGGCTCAAGAATGATAAGGTGTGGCTCAAGAGTGGTATAATGTGGCTCAGGAATAATAAGGTGTGGCTCAAGAATAGTATGATGTGGCTCAACAATGATAAGGTGTAGCTCAAGAGAGGAATTGGTAAGAGAGACAGTGTGAAAACAGAGAGAGAGAGAGAGAGAGAGGAATGAAAGTTTGAAGTACCAACAAAGAAGAATTATCCCCACACGTTACGTACCTCCATTACAACAAATACATTTTCTGCGCCTCTTGCAGTATCTGTGATCAGCCACGACCCCCCTGCCACTGGCCGCTGTCCGGATGCTCGCTGGCTGGACTTGGGGAACGGTTTCTGCTACCTTGTCTCCCAATACAAACAGCCATGGGACGAGGCCAGGAGGACGTAGGTGGCCTTACTCCTTGTAGTACTGTATAGGGTGCAGGTCTTCTGCATACGTCTTTGGGCAGGAATAGGAAAGGGAATGAATGGGCGAGAAGGAAGGGAAAAAACACATGACGTGAGGGAAGGCTAGAGAGTGGCAGGAGTTGAGATTGCAAGAAAAGGGGAAGGAGGATAATTGAAGGGAGGGAAGGAAATGTACTGAGAGGAGAAAAAGCATGGGAAAGAAGGAATTGAAGGAGTGTGATTATGTCCACAATAAAAGTTCTCCTCTTACTTATTAATTCATTCTTGTTCTTTTTATCAAAATTTCTTTGCTGTTCTTTTTGTTCTTCCCCTTTATTAATTCGTTATATCACACGAATCTCCCCTTAGTTTTTAATTAATTTTATTTGATCAGTCTTCATCATTTAATTGTATTTTTTTTCTTTCGCAATATTTTCCTCTAGGTCGGTTTACTTTCGAATTGGTTTTATCTTATTTATTTATTTATTTTTAATTTTTCCTCATCCAAGAGTTCTCAATCCCTCTCATCTTGCGCAGTTGTGTGCTGGAGAATAGCAACTTGGCATCCATGCATTCGGAGGCAGAGATGATCGCGGTCACTGTGGCAATACATGGCATTACTGACCCGTTGTGGATCGGCCTGGTAAAGGAGGAACACGGTGAGTGCTCTCTCATTATTTATTTTTTAATTGTAAGGGCTTTATGGTCGAAGAAGAGATTATTGAGTGAGAATGTCAAAGATATGGAGAGGGAGGTAATACTGTAGTTGGCGGGATGACTGCCTTGTTGCTGTACTTGGATGTATATATTGTACTTGGCAGGTGTCGTTGTTTTTTCATGGTTGGTTGTTTACACTGGCAGTTTTGGCACTTACCAACCTATGCCCTATATCATGTTTAGTGGTTTTGAGGCCACGTTTCGCATTCTGTTGTCCTTGCTGGTGGATTCTGGTGCAGGGAGTTTGTCTATTGCCTGGCCTCAAAAATTGGGGGATGGTGTTGGCCCACTTGTAGGCTACTTTGGTACCATTCTGGGAACCATCTATGATTGCTGTCATTTTCTATCGAGAGACACACACACACACACACGTTTGAAATAAGAGACGCACAGGTAATCTGAGAAACCAGAACATATTAAATATATCCTCGGTATAAACCCAACTAATTTTTTTAATTTACCTTTAAACTTTGACTTTCCTCTTGCAGGTTATGGCTGGAGTGATAGGTCGGGAGTGGACTATGTCAATTGGGGAGTCGATGAACCTGGTGGGGGAACCGATGAGGGGTGCGTCCTGGTTTATACACAGACAGGGAGCTGGAGCGACACGCACTGCTCCACCGCCGCACATTATCTCTGCAAGACACTCAAAAGTATGTGTAACGTGTATTGGCTACAAGACTGTAAGTTAAGCAGAGTTTATGCATTCTCTTATTAATGTTCTGAACC